GGCGCGGCTGCGCGGGGTCTTGCCCGGCCCAGCTGCTCGGGCCTGCGGCGCAGCCCGCTGCTCAGGAGGCGCCGAGGCGCGCACGCCGCCTGCCCGGCCGAGGAGCGGGGCGGCGGTATCGGAAGAGCGCGGTGTCCGCCTCCTCGCTGCGGCGAGCCGGCGTGGCTGGCACGGCGTGGAAGTGGCTCTCCCGCGGCCTCGGGCGGGAGTCGGTCAGCCCGAAGCGGAGGGCGCGGGGCCGCAGCGGGGCCCCTCGGCGTGCTCCGCCACATGCGCTGCCGGGCAGCCGCGCCCCGCCCTCGGGGGCTGCCCCCCGGGAGCCGAGTGAACGGGGTCGCTCGGGCGGCCGGGCAGTTTGAACCCGGTGCGAGGCTCGAGGCGGATGCGGGCAGCTGTGGTGCCGCCAAGACTGGTGCGGGCTCAGCTGGCCGGCGAGCGCCTGTTCTACTCGGTTATTTGCTCCCGTGTAAACGCGTGGCAGGTTTTCTTGGGACTGGGTCCCAGTGGGCCTTGCTTGAGGCTGGAGGGGGATGGCACTGCTTCGGCCGTTCAACCAGAGAAGGTCCATTTCTAGTGACTTGTGCGAAGTTAAATATAGACTGTTATTGCAGCAGACCTATGCATGGTTGCCTGAGAGTAACTCCCAGTTGACTTGGCTGGGTCTGCTTCAGGCCATATGGTTGCTTTAAATGTACGCTTCACCAGTGAGTATTATGAATATAAAGCTTTCTCTCACAGGAGGAGAGGGCCCTGCCTGCAGGAGCTTGCAGGCTAAAATTAGATGCAGGTTGAGTGACTTGTTTATGAGTGTAAAATTTGAAAAAAGTTGTGGATAGGATCAGCATTCACTGCTGAGCACACTTAAAGCCATTTGCATCCACCTCTAATCATGCATGGGATGCGATCCTGAATGCCCTTGTTTGGAAGCAAATCACAAGTGAACAATACAGTTTTGTTACCGAAGCCTAAACACCCTTCCCCATCCCCTGTGAAATGCACTTTTTCCTCTCCACAAATGATGGACAAACAGATCAGTGAATATCAGGTTGTGGATTCTTCAGTTTCTGAATGATGGTGGGGGAATTCTTGCTTTGTTTGGGCTCCCAAGTGCCCAGAAAAAATGACAAGTATTGAGGTGTTTTCATAACTAAAAGAGTATACATGCCCCATTCGGAATGTTCTGTGGAGCTTTAGGAGATACTTTGGACTGAACAAACTGGTTCCCCCTCGGCCAAACACCAGAAGCACCTTGTACTGAGCCAGACTCATCTAGCCCACTGTTGCTTCTTTTGACTGGCAGTGGCCCCTAAAGTCTCAGGCCAGGGCTTTTCCCGGCTTTGTCATCTGAGATCCTCTTACCTGTCAGGGCTTGAACTTAAACCCCTCAGTGCATGCAAAAATATATCCTTTGCTGCTGAGTGCTTTGTGTTGTCTGGAGGTTCCTGGCTTATTTAAAGCACTGGAGCAGCTGGCCAAACGTGAGAAAGGGGATTAGAATTAGATTGAGGGTTCTGGGTTTCTTTTGGCTGGAAACTGCATTTGGAGTTGCCTCCACATGTGGAGAAATGCATCTGTTCGTTTTAGGGCACTTTCATTGGTATGGCAGATTTCAGATGGCTTATCCAGGGGCCACCAAGTGAGCTCTGAATTGGGGATTCTGTTAGGACAGACAAGTATTTACATGAGCTGATGTTAAAGCGAGCCATCATGTTTACATATGAATGCCTTAGAAGGAGAAATGTGCTGATATTCGGACTGTCAGTTTGTGATGCCTCAACTCAGTCTGTGAATTTCTGGGAAACCACTGGATTCTTTTTTGTTGAGGCATTCAATTTATTTAGGACAGGTAAATTAAGAATGGGTAGGTTATTGAAGTTCAGTGTAGGCACCTGATAAGAAGCAGTGAGAAAAGATGAGCTATTGGAGAGGAGAGGGTGTTTATTTTAAACGTTTCTGTGTACCTTTTCCAATTCTTGAAGTAGTACACAAAAGTGTTTAAACAAGTACAAAATCAAGTAACAAAAATAACACAGCATTCCTTTGGAAAAAAAGTACTGGGCTGACTAGCTGGCAATGCCAGCAATGAAGCGAATCAACTCCAGATCATGGAACTAGTTTAGAAGGTGGTAGTTGGTCAAACAGCCTTGCTGAGAATGAAGAATTACCTGGGAGGCTTGAAGAGATTGCAGCCCTAGGCTGCAGTGTTCAACTTGCCTTGGCTGCCAAATTCAGCCAATAAGTCGCATCTGTCCTTCCTCCCATCCACAGTAGTCTGGGATGAACATCCAGGATTGAGGAACCTTGGAGTTCTTTTGGAAGAATCACAGTAACATGTTCTAAATAGAACCACGTGTGTTTTAATTATGAGCAAGACCTGTCTCTTACTAAAGAAAACAAACTGTAGCAATTCAGTGAACTGTGACTGACAGGATTTTGTTGGGAACTTCCTTTAAGATTATGGGTCTTTGAGGCAAGTTATATCTAGAGAAGAGCTTAGCTTAAGACTTCAGGTTCATTGTGTCATTCAATAAATGTCTGACAAGTTTACTATGCTAGTGGAAGAGGTGGTGGTGATCTTGACCTTGATTTTGCTTTTGAAATTATACTGCTGTAGAACATTCCTATAATTTCTGTTAAAAACCTAATTCAAGCATATATGCTACAATGTATGCAAAATCAAGAAGAGTTGCTTAGCACTGATTTAGTTGTAGAATCGGATAAAATACTGGGAAGAATAGGTGCAAATATTCTAGGCTCATATTCAGCAGTTTTAAATTCTATAATGTGTCTACATTTAAAAAAATTCAAATCCCTTAGCTTGAGAATAATTCATTGTTTCTTGAATATAGCATTTTCACAGTACTCTAAACTTATGGGCACAGTCTTACCCCACAGTTCACTAGAAAACTGAGAAATGTATGTTCTAAAATTAATTCTAACTTAATTTTAAAAATAAACTTAAGATATAAAAGTACTTAAAATTGTTGTCCAGTACAATCTGTATATTTTTGTGTAATTATAATATATAATCAAAATTACTAATTTGTGTTTAGATGTTATCACTGAAATTATCTGTAAGAGAAATAGCGTAACTAGCAATTAGATTCTGAAGACCGTTTTGGTTTATGATGGTTAGCAATAGCAACAAAAACTTACTTATACCTGTGCAGTGACATACATGAATGACATGTTTGTTCTAGAGACATTTGTAGTAAATTGCAGCATTTACTACATGCTAGACAAGAGGTTTTTTTCAAGGTAAATGAAATTTGCTTTTTTCTGGTATGCACTAAATAGACTAAAAGGTCTTAATCTATTATAACTCCTGATAAAAATGAGAATTAATCCTTATTTGTGCATCTTTTAGGCCGAATCCTGTGCTAGCTTACCTGGGAATTGCGTTTATTGAAACCAATAGGGCTTACCTCTGACTATAGGATTTGGTGTTGGCTCATAAACATCTGATTGCCTCTAAGAAAGTAATGACACTGTTCGCTTTTCCGTATTTATATATGTGACTTTAACAACAAAAAAAGACCCGAAGATGTATTCCAGATCTCCATAAAACCCACAGAAAGCTGGGATGCAATGCATACTTTACAGGGGCCAACCACCAAACTTGGTGGACCACTGTGTGCTTTTGGGGATTTGAGAAGCTCTTGTGAGCACCATCAAAACTGGCTCCTGTGGAAGATGTGGCTAGTCACGTAATGGCTGCTGTGGGGTCTTGCCTAGTAAAAACGTGCTGAAGAATGGTGGGGAGAAATAGTGAAGGCTGGAAGGAAGCGGGAAGTGCCAAAGAAGGGAGGAGAGAAAGAGCAAGGCTGCACGCTGGGAGTGGGGAGAAACAGCAAGGCAAGAGATGGGGAGGCAAACTCTGATTCAAGAGACTGGGAAGGAGGGGGAAGTGGCAAGACAAAGGGGTAAGGGAAGAACAGTACTAGGTGCGGAGAAACAGAGAGCTAAAAAGGAGGGACAGTAGTGATGCTTGGGGCTCAGGATGGTGGGGGCATATTATATAGGGAAAAGGGGATGGAGGAGGAAAAAAGGAAGGCTGCAGGTTAGAAAAGGAGAGAAAGAAGATTGCTGTGATAGTGTTCTTTATTCAAAGGTGCCACTTCAGTACTCACCAGGATCTACCTCTGTATGTCTATGTTATTCATCTTAAGTAAGCTTGTCGATTGTTGCTTGCTTGCTCTCCTGTTACTAGCAAAAATAGTCTCCACATACTAGGCATGAGAAGTTTCAGAATGGTAGATTATGTTTGTATCTAAGCATTTTATATTAATGCATTAATATTTATATTAATCTGTAAGGACACATAGCTAGTAAAAATGGGAGGGGTCACTCATTTTTATTTGTTATTTGCAAGGATATCAAGTACTGGCACTTATTCCTGTTTCATTGAAGCCAAGCATATGTGGAATTTGGACTAATTACATGTTCAAGGATGCTGGAATTATAATGTGGTAGTGACATCTTCAACTCAGGTATCTGGATTTTTACAGCCAGTCAGCCTGAGCATTATGATTCTCCATAAAATGTTAAAGCAAAATAGCTGAAATGTAAGTATACAGATTGCTTGCAACCTCTCAGTACTCTTTAGTCAACACTGCTGGTGTTTTTCTGTAGAGTGGTTTTCTGAGTAGTTGTGACTTGCATGTTACATAGGTTTGATGTATTTTTCAGCTTACTGCATATCCATTTTGAGCTCTCATTTAGTGTGCACACTCTACATTTCTTTCCATTTCTTTACCAGTGTAACAATATTTTCCTTTTAAACTTGCAAGCTACACAAAGGTGAATAAATCTCAGCAGTTATTCCTA